TCTACTTCACATGACTGGTTATATATATAAACAAAAATCATACCTTTAGTGGGTCAACTCATTGTGATCACAGCAACAACTCTTTTTTTTTTTAACTTCCCATTTTTCCACCAAAACAAAGTAATACCCAGATCTCAAAATTCTATGTGCGACTTTCTAATAATTGAACACAGCTCCAAATTCTACATTATCTTTTGATCATTTAATTTTCCAATTAACATAAAAATTTTAGATGGATTATGTACAGGAGGGAAAGAGGCTAACGATGGTTGAGAGACATTTGGCAAAAAGCCTGTGAAATAGCATTATAAAGTTTCTATATAACTCTCCGTCGTACTAATATTTGTTGTTTTTCTTCACCAATCTTGATTAATTTCTTATATGTAAATTTTTATGATTACAATGCTTTGTAACATGGATCCAGACACTTCCCCCAGATTAAGCTGCTAGATATTGGCTTCTAATCAGAGTTTGTTTTCTTTTGACACAGACCATTTTAAAAATTTATTTTGGGAAATCTAAAAAATTCAGCATTGGTTTATTCACATTATTTCCAAAATCTAAAATATGATGGGAAATAACATCTAAGTACTAAAACCAAAAGAATTGAGAAAGAAACATATCAATTAACCTTGGGGGTCTCATCGTAGGCCTTGATTCACCAGATCTCCATTCCTCATTTCTCTATTCCTCCTAATTTTTTTTTTTAAAAATACACTTCACTCATTTCACTCTAATTCAAAGATTTTTAACAAATAAGTAAGAATGAAAAAAAAAAGTAAAAATGAAATTTACTTGTCTATTCTACCCACGTTTATTGTGAAGATCACTGCTTGAGCTGGAATCATCATGATCAACCCGTTCTCCAGACAAAATCTGCACATTTTAGAGTTTAAAAGAGAATCGTGAGAGAAAATAACAGAAAAGAGAGAAAAAAGAAGAAAACATACATCTTGCAATGGGGGTGTGGGGAAGTGGAGAGGTGATTTACGTGCAAAATAGAGTAAGAAGCAATAAATGAATGAAAAAAACATGTTAAACAGAGGTTACAGAGTAATGTCCATGAGAGTTGGAGAGAGAAGTAAGAGAAATGTATCTAATTGTTGCGTGTGAAATTGAACAAATCAAGTACGTGGTTGCGTGTGAATTGAATAAATCATCTACTGCCTCAAATTGCATTTAATGTGGGATAAGTCTACAAAAGAAATTGGACTGTGCATAACGGAGAGATGCACTTTGACCTAGGTTGCTTTGAGAAATTGACAAAGTTAGAAAAAAGAAAAAGAAATGACTAAAAAAATGCAATGCAAGATACTGTAGGCTGAAGTGGAGGAAAAAGTAGTGAAATGATAGGTTGCTTTGAGGAATGGACAAAGTCAGAAAAAGAAAAGAAACCATTAAACAAATGCAAAAACTTAATCGAAAATATATTTATTATTATCACATTTTAAGTTTTTTTAAAAAAAATTTAAACAGATCCAAATGGATATTCATATCGTGAAATATCGAATCAAACGTTGTACGAAAAATGAAATTTGAAAAAAAGACAT